GGTGGGTTTGGTGCAGAGGGGGGGTCCCGGGTGGGTTTTTTGGGGGGGGGTCCCCACCTGGTTCAGCACCTCCATCCTGCGGGTCCGGGAGACGCAGCGCGGCGGGGGGGGGAGCGGCGCGCCGCGGAACAGCCGCGGAGGGAGGGGGGGAAACAGCAGGGAACAGCGGCGCGTGCGCGGCGGCGGGTGGGGAGAGAGTGAGAGGGAACAGCCGACGGCGGAGGGAGGCGGGGAAGAAGAGGTAACAGCGAACCTACAGAGAAGGGCGGAAGTGACGTAATAACGAGGCAATGGGCGCCGCCATTTTGGGTGCGGGCAAAGGTTGAGGGCGGGGGCGAGAGTTTTGGGCGGGAAAAGGAATTGGGGGGATTTTTGAGGGGATTTTGGGAAATTTTGTGGGGATTTTGAGAAATTTTGAGGGGGCTTGGGAATTTCTTGTGGGTTTTTCCCTTTGTTTGAACTTTTTGCGGGGACATTGAGGATTTTGGGGTGATTTTTGGAGGATTTTGAGGCAATTTTTTGGGGATTTTGAGGTGATTTTGGGGCAATTTTTTTAGGATTTTGAGGTGATTTTGAGGCGATTTTTGGGGGATTTTGAGGTGACTTTGAGGCAATTTTTTGGGGATTTTGGGGGGGTCCTGCACCCACTTGTGAGGGAGTGTTCCATGAATTTATTGTGCATTTTTCCCTTTATTTGAACTTTTTCGTTCTCCACTTTTATGGCGATTACTGGGGGAGGGTCTCAGCTTAATTCAGGGTAAATCTCGACTTTTTTTTGGGACCCCCAAATTTATTTTGGGGCTGCCAAATCCCAAATTTATTGCTGAGACTCCTCCCCTTCCAAGATGGCGTCCAGCATCTCCTCACACATCAGCAGCGCCCGCGCCACGTGGAAACAGCCTGGAAAAACGGGGCAAAAACGGGGAAAAAAGGGGGAAAATCAGGAAAAATCCCGTTCCCGACCCCCCCCTCACCGACGAGAGACCCCAGACCCACCTTTGTAGGGCCCCCCCTTGATGGAAAGCGCCACGGAGCCATCGCGGTTCAGGTACCCGAACCACTCGCCGTGCTCGGGGTCACGGAACTGAGGGGAAATTGGGGGATTTTGGGGGGTTTTAGGGGATTTTGGGGAATTTGGGGAGGGGGAGAGGGAGGTGAGACCCACACCTCAAATGGGAAGGGTGTGGGAGACCCCAAAAAAAGGAGCCCCCAAAAAGCTGCAGAATGGGGGAATCTCAATGGGGAGAGGTTTTGGGGACCCCCTCCCCAAAATGGGGACCCCCTCCTCAAATTAGGACCTTTTGGGAGCCCCTCAGAACCCCCCCAGACACCCCTCAAAACCCCAAATTTGCCCCTCAAGACCCCAAATTTCCCTCCATCCCCAAGAATCCTCTCGACATCCCAACCTCCCCCTAGGCCCCAAATCTCCCCAAAATTCCCCCAACTCCTCCCAAATCCCCCCAAAATCCATCTCAAATCCCCCAAATCGCCTCAAAATCCTCCCAAATATCCTCAGCCTCCCCAAATATCCCCTAGTTCCCCCCAAATCTCCCCCAAAATCCCCACAAAATAGCCCCGAATTCCCCCAAAATGGCTCCAGATCTCCTCCAAAATCCCCAAATCCAACAAATTCCCCCAAATATCCCGAAATCTCCTCCAAATATCCCTAAATCTCCCCAAATTTCCCCCTAATTCCCCCAAATCTCCTCCCAAATATCCTCAAAGTCCCCACATCCCCCAAATGCCACCAAATCTCTCCCAAAATGTGCCCAAATTCCCCCAAAATGGCTCCAAATTCCCCTCAAAATTCCCAAATCCCCCCAAAATCCCCCCAAATCTCCCAAATTTCCCCCTATTTCCCCCCAAATCTCCTCCCAAATCTCCCCAAACTTCCCAAATCGCCAAAATTCTCCCAAATTTCCGCCAAATGCCCCCAAATTTCCCTAAAAACGCCCCCAAATTCTCCCAAATTCCCCCAAAATGGCTCAAAATTCCCCCAGATTTTCCCCGAAATGACTCCAAATCCCCCCCAAATCCCCCCAAAATCCCAAAGTGCCCCCAAACCCCCACCTTGTCGAAGGTGTACTGGGCCACCTGCAGGAACTGGGACACCAAACTGGGCTGGGGCTGGAAGCGCTGGGCGGCCAGGAGGGCAACCATGGCCTCGGCGTGGGGCCACCACAGCTTCATGGACCACTCCAGCTGGGAAAAATGGGGGAAAATGGGGAAAAATGGGGGGAAAATGGGGAAAAACGGGGGGAAAATGGGAAAAAATGGGCAAAAAATGGGGAAATGGGGGGCAAAAATGGGGGAAAATGGGGGGAAAACTGGGAAAAAGGGGTGGGTTAAATGGTGTGGGGCCACCACAGCTTCATGGGGGATGGGGGGGATGGGGAAATGAGGGGAAAATGGGGGAATGGGGGAAATGGGGGGAAATGGGGGGATGGGGGGAAAAATGGGGAAAAATGAGAAAAAAGAGGAAAAAATGAGGGAAAGGAGGGAAAAAATGGTGGAAAAGAGGGAAAAAATGAGAGAAAAGAGGGGAAATGGAGGAAAGGAGGGAAAAATTGGGGAAAATATGAGAAAAAAGAGGAAAAAATGGAGGAAAGGAGGAAAAAAGGAGGAAAAAAAGAAAAAATATGAGAGAAAAGAGGGGAAATGAGGGAAAAAATGGGGAAAAAGATGAAAAAATGAGAAAAAGAAGCAGAAAATTCGGGGAAAAGAGAAAAAAATTGGGGGAAAGGAGGAAAAGAATAAGGAAAAAAAGAGGAAAAATGGGGAAAAAAGGTAAAAAATGAGAAAAAAAGAGGAAAAATTGGGGGAAAGGGGGGAAAAATGAGAAAAAAGTAGAAAAATGAGAGAAAAGGCAAAAAATTGGGGGAAAGGAGGGAAAAATTGGGGGACAAAAAGGGAAAAAATGAGGGAAAAGAGGGAAAAATTGGGGAAAATGAGCAAAAAATTGGGGATCCCCCAAAAGAGAGATCAACCCCCCCCAAAATCGGGGTCAAACTCCTCCAAAATCAGGATTTCCCCCCAAATTTGGGATCCAACCCCCCCAAAACCGGGATCCCCCCTCCCCAAAATCAGGGTCCCCCCTGGCAAAATTTGGGTTTCCCCCAAAAATCGAGCTCCAAACCCCCAAATTTGGGATGAAACCCCCCAAAATCGGGATCAAACCCCCCAAAATCGGGGTCCCCCGTCCCCAAATTTGGGGTTTCTCCCTAAAATCGAGCTCCAAAACCCCCAGATTTGGGACCCAACCCCCCAAAATCGGGATCAACCCCCCCCAAATTCGGGATCAAACCCCCAAATTCGGGATCAAACCCCCCCAAAATCGGGGTCCCCCCTCCCCCAATTTGGGGTTTCACCCCAAAATCGAGCTCCAAACCCCCCAAATTTGGGATCAAACACCCCCAAAATCGAGATTTTCCCCCCAAAATTGGCCTTCCCGCTCCCCAAAATTTGGTTTCCCCTGAAAAACCGAACTTCACACCCCCCAAATTTTAGACCCAGCCCCCCAAATCGGGGTCCCCCCTCCCCAAATGGGGGTCCCCCCTCACCGGGGTTCATGAGGCGCCCGAGGCTCCCCGGCAGCTCCCCCCCCTCGGGGGTGACGTTCTCCAGGACCACCGAGTCCCCCCGCTGCACCCCGAAATTGGGGAGACCCCCGTGAGGGGGAGACCCCGAAATTGGGGAGCCCCCGGGGCTGCTCTGGGGGGGAAAGAGCCCCCGGGGGCAAGTTTTGGGGGTCTTGGGGGGGATTTTTGGGGTCCCGGGGGTGATTTTTGGGGTCCTGGGTGTGATTTTCTAGGTTCCCAGGGGTGGATTTTGGGGGTCCCAGGAAGATTTTAGGGTCCCCAGGTATGATTTTGGGTGTTCCAGGTGTACTTTTGGGGGTCCCAGCTGTAATTTTGGGCTCCCCTGGTGTACTTTTGGGGGTCCCAGAATGATTTTTTGGGGGTCCCAGCTATAATTTGGGGTTCCAGGATGATTTTTGGGGCCCCCAGGACATTTTTGGGTCCCAGGACATTTCTGGGGTTCCCAGCTGTATTTTGGGGTTCCCAGGATTATTTTTTGGGGTTCCCAGGTTGAGTTTTTCGGGGTCCCAGCTGTATTTTGGGGGTCGCAGGACATTTTTGGGTCCCCAGGACATTTTTGGGACTCCCAGGACATTTTGGGGTTCCCAGGATGATTTTTTGGGGTCCCCGTGACATTTTTGGGGTTCCCAGGATGAGTTTTTCGGGGTCCCAGCTGTATTTTGGGGGTCCCAGGACATTTTTGGAGTCCCTATGACATTTTGGGCTCCCAGGACATTTTTGGGGTTCCCAGGACATTTTGGGGTCCCAGGACATTTTGGGCTCCCAGGACATTTTTGGGGTCCCCGTGACATTTTTGGGGTTCCCAGGATGAGTTTTTTGGGGTCCCAGCTGTATTTTGGGGTTCCCAGGATGATTTTTGGGGTCCCCGGACATTTTGGGTTCCCAGGACATTTTTGGGGTCCCCAGGACATTTTGGGTTCCCAGGATGATTTTGTGGGGTTCCCAGGATGATTTTTTTGGGGTCCCCAGGACATTTTTGGGGTCCCAGCTGTATTTTGGGGTCCCCAGGATGATTTTTTTGGGGTCCCCAGGACATTTTTGGGGTCCCAGCTGTATTTTGGGGTCCCCAGGACATTTTGGGCTCCCAGGACATTTTTGGGGTCCCCGTGACATTTTTGGGGTTCCCAGGATGAATTTTTGGGGTCCCAGCTGTATTTTGGGGTCCCCAGGACATTTTGGGTTCCCAGGATGATTTTGTACTTTGGGGGCCCCCCTCGGGGCCCCCCCAGAGCTGCAGCCCCCCCTTGAGCACCATCAGCGCCTGGGCCAGCGCCTGCTGGGGGGGGGTCCCCGCGAACCGGGGGCGCCCCAGCTCCATGGGAGCCCCCCGGGCCCAGCCCCACACGGCCTCCGCCCAGCGCCGCGCCCAGGCCTGCCAGAAATGGGTCAGGGGGCTGACATTTTGGGGTTCCCAGGACATTTTGGGCTCCCAGGACATTTTTGGGGTCCCCGTGACATTTTTGGGGTTCCCAGGATGAGTTTTTTGGGGTCCCAGCTGTATTTTGGGGTTCCCAGGATGATTTTTGGGGTCCCCGGACATTTTGGGTTCCCAGAACATTTTTGGGGTCCCCAGGACATTTTGGGTTCCCAGGATGATTTTGTGGGGTTCCCAGGATGATTTTTTGGGGGTCCCAGGATGATTTTTTGGGGGTCCCCAGAACATTTTTAGGCTCCCAGGACATTTTGGGCTCCCAGGACATTTTGGGGT